CAATACATCAGATATTAAATCCTCCTAAGCAACAGCAATACTGTTTAGTCTAACATATTCTAAAAGTAACAAAAATATAAAGCATTAAATAAACCATTATTTTTTAAAAAATTAATTAAAGTTATTTTGTTTTTAAATACTTTTAAATTTATGTTTGTGTTTGTTAAATGGATTGCAACTGTCAAAGCTAAAAAAGCTACTATCATGCAAAGTTTCAAATCTATCCAAGTAGACCATTTCATGGTGATTACAAATAGTTTGCATATGATTTACTTTACATCGCAAGTGCACAAGTTTTAGATATTTTTTGTTAGTTCCTTAAAACATAATTTTTTTGATTTTGGTAAATTTTACTTTATGACTATCTTTATTTAATACTTTTTCATTGCAACGTTGTGTTAGATCTAAAAATGTATTTGCCATTTATTTATTAATTGCTATCTAAAAAGATATACTTCAATACAAGTTTTGAAATTTAAAATAGGGTTTTTTGATTTTTGACAAAATAAAAAAATACAATATTTAATACAATCTAAAGTACACCAATAACTTTATTTTTATTATTTTTAATGCATTTTGTGCAAATTTTATATTTCTGATTTTGTAACTTCCCTATGAGTACCCACTAATTATTTTTTTTAATCACTGTAGTAAAATCTACCAGCTCAGTAGAAAAAAAATGGATTTTATGTTACCGATGGTTTGAAGTGCACAATTTTTTAAGATTTAGACAGAGCCATTTTTAGGAGTCCATAATTTTTTACTTTGTTTTTTATTTAGTTTTATTTTCTAAGTAAATTTCTAAAAATTTGGAAGCCTTTCATTTATAGAAACAAGAAAATATGTCTTTTAACTTCTTCAATTGCAGATTTCGTATATTGACCCATCGAAAATTAACTTCTTATATTTGCAAACAATCTTTTAGGTTATTGTTTTACTAAAGTAAGTCTAGAGATAAAAATATAAAATAAAAAACTAAAAGTATACAATAAAAAACTTAAAAGTTTTCTAAAATTTTGTTTTTAAAATATAGAGCTTCAAATTATTAACAAAACATGTTTTCCCTGCAAATATTTTTGTTTTTGAAAAATTAAATGACCATACCGTATTGGAAATTTCAAATGTCCACATGTAATGAATTACAATAGATATTATGCTGAAAGTTTCAGGAATTGTTTTTCTCATTGATATAAACTAACCCACCTAGTTTCATCAAAATCTAAGGTGGACTATGTTAAAATCCCTAAATTTTGGTCAATTTTGCATGAAATAACCTAAAAGCAAAATTAATTTCTTTTTACTTATATTTTTTGGTTTGATTAAGTTTTAAATTGACTAAAAAATCAATTTTGAAGGCAATGTTGTAAAAACTAATCATATGCTTAGGCAATTTTATTGAATTATTTTTTGCAGTCATTATGTATGGCTTAAAGATTAGTTAAATTTTGTGTGTATGACCTCTAAGACAAGTTGTGTTCATATCTTAAATTATCCTTAAAAAATAAGTTTCACACTAATTAAACTTTCCAAAACAAATTATTTACCAAAATATTAACAAATAACTTCATAATTATTAATGCCATTTTTTTTCACATGAAGGTAAGTTTCACCTCTGACTTTTTTTAAAAAAAAAAAAAAAAATACTGGTGTGGTTTATGCACTTTTGTAGTTGATAAATGATGTTGTTACAAAAAAGTTCTTTTAAAATTGAATTATTATAATTGGGTTTTCCTTTGAGGCTAAACGTCAATACAATTAATAAGCAAAAAGAGTTTTTCAAAGTCTTTAATAGTATATTCTTATTTAATCTAAAAAAATAAGGTCATTTAAAAAAAGTTTCTTGAATCAAAAATATAAAATAAGTAATGAATAAAAAAAATAATAATAAGTATAATATAAGTATGATAATAAAATATTTTCAAGTATAATAAGTGTGAATAAAAAATATTTCAAAATTATTTCTAAAACGGAGATGAAATTTAAATAACTGCTCGGAAAAAGGATTTTTAATTCTTGTACACTTTAACTTAAGGTTGTTTATAAATCAAATCATTTTTTTTGCTTTTTGTTTTTTTACGTTAATTCACCTCCCCAAGGCTGAAAAGGCCACTGCAGAGATAAAGGCTTCTTAATTGTGGTTATAACCTTTAACCTATAAACACAAACCTTGACAAACATGGCTGCTGTGCAGAAAATAAGATGAGTGTGATACTACCAGGGATGTTGCTGGGATCGAGTTCAGAACCTCTTGCTTATGAAGCGAGCGCAAACTCTGACTCTTATTAATACTTAGTTAAATTAGTAAAACTTTCAAGAATGTGACAACCTTACTGAAGCAATTTACAAAACCAGTGTTGAAGTTTTTAATAACTTATTGCTTAAGTACATACCAAAGCAGATTTAGCGACACTTAACTACAACTTTAATGTCAGTTGTATTATCTTAACAGCTTTGGTGAGCCAAAGTTTACATATTGATAGTGTTATTTTTACAAGTTACATTTTATTTTCTATTTGATTTATATAATTCAAATCAAATAAATAATAATATGTAAGTCTAAAAATTATCCTGAAATTCGTTAAAAACATGTTCTACAAATAAAATCTTAAAACTGAAAATACTATTTTAATTTTTTGAGTTTAGTGAAAAATAATCCAAATAAATATGATTTCACTGTAAATAAAAACTTTAATATAATTAAAAATAGAACAAATTAGAAAAGCGGTATTTTTTGTTTAATTACAATTTTCATTTTATCAAAAATCAACAGTTTAACTGAAATGTTTAATGTAGCATGAACCTTTAAAAAAAGGGAAAACCCAATCTAATTTCATAAACTTGTTAATAAAAAACTCTCTGGGAAACATTTATTATTCAAACTAGATATTTTTATAATAGAAAAAAATATGCCGATTTATTGAGTTAAAATTAACCTCTTTACTGGAAGTATAATGGCAAAACAACAAATGTTTTTTGTTAATATCTCAAAAAATAATTTATTTTGTTTTGATCATTTACAAAGTTTTGCTCCAGAGTTTAACTTTTTTTCTAATGTTTATTTACAAAATAAACATAACTTGTCTCGGCACTTTCCTTTGTCTCGGCACTTCCCTTTGTCTTGGCACTTGGAGTCCCTTTAATAATGCAATTATGTCTTTTTAATGTACTAGTTTAACATTTTTACTTTTTCTCTCTTTTTGTAATTTAAAATTTTTTAAAAGCACTTTTTATACTTTCTCTAGTGTTTTTTATCTTTTCTTCAAGCATGGTACCTGGCACTAGTAAGTGGGGTCCTGGGCCTGGCTAAATATTTTTCTTACTGAGAATGAGTTCAGTAGATGCCCAAAAGTGACATTTTTAGTTTTAAAACAAAAATTTTATAACCAAAGGCATTTAAATGTCTTTAAAAGCATTTTTAAAATAAAATCAATACAAAATCATTATGGACATAGGGAAAAGCAATTATCTCTTTAAAAAGTAACAAAAAAAATAATGAAAAATAAACTAATAAAAAAATATAAAAGTAATACTATATAATTTAATTTTTTTGCAACTGCTGAGATTCTTAATCAGTTAGATTGTACTTATGATATGATATTCTTGTACATATGACATGATATGACGTATGACATGATATTGTTGTGGGCCTATAAATTAAGCATATAACTTTAAAGTTGATGTTAGCATATATTATACTTCAAAGTTGATGTTAAGCATATAACTTTAAAATTGATGTTATAAGCATATAACTTTAAAGTTGATGAAAAATGCACCCAGCATTTTTTATCTCCCTTTTGCAAAATAAGCTGTTAGCTAGTTCATGGGAGTCAAAAATCATTTTTATATCATTTGTATCATCTTTACTTATATCTTTAGCAATCTTTACCCACTAAAATCCATCATAAAAACATGCAAATATGCAATGTTTAATAAATCTTGTAATCAAGCTTTCTAAGAAGATGCTTGTGATCCCACGCCTTATATGACTACGCATATAGAATTTTGTTTTGATAACTTGGGCATAACTCTTAGCATGTTTTAATATAGCTCATTTAAAAAATGCGCTGAATAAACCAATGTAAACTTTAACTAAACTAAAAAAATAAAAAAACTATTAACTGGAAAGAGAAATAAAAAACTAAAAAAAAAAAAAGCAAAAGTAAATAAAAAATAAAAATTTTTAACAAAGGATAAAATGAATAAAAAAAAACAGATAAAAACAGAAAAAATAAAAGCATAAAATTAATGTTTTTATTTTAATTTAAAAGTAAATACAAAAAAATATAGAAAAAATCGAAATTTCAAAGTTAATCCAAGCTTAATTACTTTGAAACTTAATTATTTAAAAATTTAAAAACTTTGATAATTTTTAATGTCTACAAAGCAAATAAAACATAAAAAAACGTTATCCGTTTGACACAATTTAATCAACCTATGTGCTACATAAAAAAGTAAAAAATATAAAATTTAGCCCATCATTAAAAAACAAAACAAACCAAGTTTGATTTTAATATTTTTATTTTCTAAAAATATTTAAAGCATACATACTATTTAAAAAAGAAAGTATTAAAAAAAAAGAAGCATAAAATCAACTTGTTCAAACATTAATAGCTGTTAAAGACAATGAAAAATATCTTAGCAAAGTAACTCACTAACTAAATAATGTTTTCTCAAGAACTGTGTTAGATATTATTCTGAAATTTTGGGACATCCTTTTTTCATACATATGCAAAAAATCATGAGTTGTCAGCATAATCTAAAATAGTCCATGAAGAACCTTGTAAAAGTTTTCTATTTGCATGGCTGCGACACCTCTTATTTTCTTGACCCATAATGATCGGCAAATAAATTAAGAACGAACTGCTTTAGCGTCTTAAGGGTGATAAAAGTATTTTTTGTTGTTGTTGATTTTACATGGAATCGCTTAATTGCTAATAAACAGGCAAGTAAAGTTGTTTTCAAAAACTGGATGCATTTTATTGTTTAAAGTTTATTTTCAGGTTTGAATCTGAGATTTCTGGAAACCTGCCACCTCCTCCTAAAATACCAATGCTTCGTCTGCCAACATCAACACCCAGTTCTCAACCATCAAATTTTAGTTTGCCTGCAAAACCACCTAATCCACCACCTAGGATGCCAACATTCCCTCCAACTTTAAATAATCACATGTTTCATGGACTACCATCGATGGATGGTCTTCATCCTCCAGGAATAATGCCTCCTCATTTAATGGTTCCTCCTATGATGCCTCCACATATGATGATGCCTCACAGTGGTATTTATACCTTAATTTTTTTAAAAACAAACTAAAAAAGGTAGTATGTTAAGACCTATAATTATACTTGTTTTAGGACCTTCTGGACTTTTGCCTCCAAGTATGATTATACCAAATTTTGACAAAGATCGTCGTGATGGTAAAAAAGGAATGAAAAAAGAAAAGAAAAAAACTGTTGTTCGTGTTGCAGGTGGTACTGTTTGGGAAGACAGCACATTACTTGATTGGGATCCAAGTAAGTTTTTAACTACAAGTTGTTCAAAAATCTAGATACTAGAAAAGGAATTAGGTAGCTTGTATTATTAGGTAAGAACGTTCTAATAAGGTAATGGGATAATGAGATAACCTTTTAATTTCTAAAAATAATTGTTTCAAGAAATTTAAAGTTATTTTCAACATGTTTTTTTTGCTATTGGAATTTGCAATTAATATTTTCTGTAAGTTTCAAGGAATTCATAATTAACTTTATCGCTGAAAAGATTGCTACTGTTAGCCATGGATCTTGTAAGTTTTCTTATGTTAAAGCTAAGATCAGTCGCTCCCCATCCTGTTAAATATACTTTTTTATATCCAAATGGTTATTTAAAAATCATTACATTTTTAGATTTATTGTATGTGATAAATATTTTTAGACGATTTTCGTATATTCGTTGGTGACCTTGGTAACGAAGTCTCTGATGATGCTTTACTTCGTGCATTTTCTAAATATCCATCCTTGCTTCGTGCAAAGATCGTGAGAGATAAAAAAACTAAAAAAACTAAAGGTTATGGGTTTGTTAGTTTTAAAGACCCCCAAGATTATTTAAAAGCAATGAGAGAGATGAATGGTAATTTTATTTAATTGCTATTTTTTGCTATTATAAGATAAAAGAAAATAAGACTCTATATAATAATATAGGTATAGATCCATTTATTTAATGGGTGTAATATAAATTCAATAGAATAATCCAGTAGAAAAATGCTATAGAGGAGAATTTAATTAGGTTCACCAGTTTTTATTTCTTTTGGAATGAATTTACAAGGGCTTGATGTGTAATGAAAGTTTTAATTCAATGTTTTATGAAAATTTTTATCCAAGTTTATAATTGTTGATAAGCTATAAAATAAGTCACGGTACGTTAAACGTTTTGTACCATCGATGCAAAGAGGAAAAGATTAAAACAAGATAAATCAGCGATGGAAAATGTATGTTGTTATTTTAAAAAGTACTTTTTATGGCGCTCTTATCCAATAAGAAAATTTTTTTCTTTTGTCTAGAAAAATTTTTTCTTTTGTCTAGGCGCAACACGCCCTAAATAATACGCTCCTAATAAATGTTTACTTATAGAAATATACTAATGATATTTATGTTATATTACATATCTTGTATATCTTGTGCTCTAAATTATTGTGTATTTTTGTTCAGGAAAGTACGTTGGAAACCGGCCTATAAAATTAAGGAAAAGCTCCTGGAAAGAACGAAACATCGGTCAAGCGAGAAAAAAAGAAAAAGAAAAGAAGAAATTAGGCATTCGTTAATAGAAAATATTTAATTTCAAACTGCGATGTAAACAATAGGCGGTAATGAAAATGTTTCGTCAAAAATCTCAACACGATCAAGAAATATGCCACTATAACAATGTTTGGTCAGAAAGGATTAAGGGATATGCCACTATAACAATGTTTGGTCAGAAAAGTTCGATCAAGGAATATGCCGCTATACCATTTTTGCATCGTTGTAATAGCATTCTACATATAACGCATGTTTGCGTTTATTTAAAGTTTGTTTAATATCTTGTTACAAAATAGTTTTGTATTTTTGCTCGGTATATTTATTTTTGCTTTTTTTTTTTTTTTTTTTTTTTTTTTATGAACCAAAAACAACGATCTTAATTCATTAATCCATTAATTTATTTCGAGTTTTTATATAGAATATAAATAAGTAAATATTTGTTAAACCACAGCGGGACACTTTTTGACAATTTTTCTTAACTAAACAAATTTTTTTTCAAGTTTTCAATTGTCAAGTTCATCTGAAAGATCTCTTTTTCAACGCGTCATTGGTAAACCTAAAATGAAAAATCTTAAGTAATATTTCTAAAAATTATTATATTTTAAGTGTAAATATGTTTAATAAACACTTGTTGTTCTCAAGTATTCCTTATGTACTTAGCATAACTGAACAGATCTTTTTTTTTTATCACTAATTGCTAGAGTAATGCCTCCATATCCAAACGCAAAATGTAAATGAGTGTTTAAATGAAATTATTTGTGCACGCTGTCTCAAATCAACTTATTGTAATAGAAAAGTACTTACAATTGATGTGTGTTCTGCCATAATAAGTTTTGATGATGGTATTAATGGTATTGGAAATGTTTTGATTGTTTGAATATTCTACGTGAATTTTTTTTTGTTGAAAAAAATGCATTAAAAAGTGACCGTAATAGGACTTTCCTTCATTGTAAATAGCTTCTTTTTTTATTGTAACTTTTTAATAAGGTGCCCTAAGAAGTCATTTCGGTCTTATCACAGAGCACCGCGGACAAACATTTAGTTGGAAGTTCACGCCTCCTTCTTAACCAATGTCGCAAAACTTGCCAAAAGTGGGGTTTGAACCACGGATCCTTTGCTTCTCAAAGGTCAAGTGCGCTACCACTGCGCTGCTGCTGCTCATTAATAATTATCTAATGTTTTAAAAATACAGAGAAAAGTAAGGCGAGGTCAAAGAAAAAGTTTACATTAAAAAAAATATATATTAAAGGATGCCAATCCTATAGTTCTGAATCCTATAGTTCTATATTTCCGTTTTGTTTTACTTTAATAACATTATCTGATTTTTAAAACTGTTTTTTCACGGTACATATTTTTTTTTGTTTTGGATATACTGTTTACATAATATTTTCACTAATACTTTATGAAACTTCTTGAAATTTTCCTCAAATTTTTGTTACTAATATAGCTACAAAATGACGCTCATTGATGAGTCTCGCTTATTCAGATTTGTACTTGTGAAATTTTGAATAGGCGAGTAAAATTGTGAATAAACTATAGTATTTTTAATTGCACCATTAAAATTTCAAGTAATAGAAGCAGTTTTGTTAGCACTTTAAGCTATTATTTGATCTGTTAAGGCATAGTGTTGAACTTGGGCTATTAACAACAACATCGCTGTTTTAGCTTTTACATCAACTTGATACCTAAGAAAAAGCAAAGCTTAACATTTTGAAAACGATGTAACATTTAAATCATTTTTTTAAAACAATTTATTTATGTTTATTATTTATTTAACTTTTTTGAATCATAAAAGGAATCAACTTGTCTTAAAATTGAATCCGAATCAGTTCCACTAAATCCACTAGAGAATTCTAGCTCAAAGTTTCTCAAACTTTTTGTTCTGCTAGTTTTTCTAGTAATTCGATTGCTCTCTTTGCACAAGATTTGATCTCAATCTTTCTTTCAGTGTCTCTTCCTTTCAATGATCTTTCTTAGCAGGTTTCTCACCTACTCCACACATTCAGCTACCCTTTAAGGAATTGTTTTGTCATTACTCTAGGTCCACTTTCAAACATTTCTTCAAATACTGTAGGTCCACTTTCAAACATTTCTTCAATTACTGTAGGTCCACTTTCAAAGATTTCTTCAAAAAGATAAAGTTTTCTTTACATTTTTAAATTATAAAAATCCTAAAAAACTATGAAATATATCAAAACTATACATAAAATATATCAAAACTATACATAAAATATATCAAAACTATACATAAAGCATTAGAGTTTTATATAAAGCAAGAAGCGTTTTAAACAAACATTCATTAACACAATTATATTACTCTTTTATACACTGTCATATTAATTATGCTAATATTGCATGGGGTAGTACCCATAAAAATAAATTAAATCCACTTTATTGTCAGCAGAAGCATATTGCACGTCTTATAAATTTTAAAAATCGTTTTACTCACTCAAGGCCGCTCTTATTTAACATGAATGTTTTTAATATATCTCAATTAAATGTTTATAATGTTCTTTGCTTTATGTTTAAATGTAAAACCAACTCATCTCCAGCTTCCTTTTTTGATTTATATTCTTTAAAAGAAAAAAATAAATATTCTTTAAGAAATGATAATTTTATTAAACAACCAAAATTTCAAACAAACTGGTAAATTTCTTATCGTGGAGCTTTTTTATGGAATCAAATAATTTTAAAAAATTTTGATTTTTCTCATGAATGTAATTATTATATGTTCAAAAAAAATTAAAAAAAGTAATTTTCTCAATTGAAAATATATTTATATATTTTTAATTATACCCAGTTTTGTCATGACTTATTTTGTATTTTACTTTTATACAATATTGATTTAACTTTTATGTAAACACCATTATTTGAACTTTGTTAAAAGTTGCACTGACATTATTTGTACAGTAGTCTATTATTATTTACATGTTTCCTTTAATTTTTATTTTAATTCGTAATATTTGTAATTAATTTGTCTTACGAACGGTATATACATTTAATATTGAATTTAATTTTGTAATAAAAAAAAAAGTTGAAAATATATTTATATATATTATTATTATTATAAAAAAAAAAAAAAATAAATAAATAAATAAATGTATGTGAATGGGTGTATCTGCAAATATTGTATGTATGATACTTCTGGAAGTTAACCATCCTTTGACAGTGGTTTAGCACTTTTGTCGGTGGAAGCATAAACGTAAACGCACCAACATTTAATAATTTTGGCTTCACACACAGAGACACCATCATTTGGCTTTCTAAACTCTTCTAGACATTCTTTTGGACAACCTTTAAGTGCATTTGGATGTACCTAGTGCAGTCTTATTATTATTATTTTTGCTTATTTATTAATTAATAAACAATTAAGATTAGTGTAATTGTAAGATACATTTGAGTAACAAGATTCAGTGATCGTATAGATGCGAGTAAGATGCGAGACGTATTCGTTTATCAAGAATATGATGATATTATTGTTTTCGCTTAAGTCATGCGATTTAGAAGAATTAGTATTTTAATTCAAGCCATAAAGACCATAACTAAAGAAAAGTTCTAAATTTGTATTTATTTGTTTATGTTTTTTCTAAAATCTAAATTAAGTTCAAAGTTCTTCAACAGCGGTTCTCGGTGACAAGACCTGCATGGTCTTCTTTGAGTATCCGCGTTCTTTATCTTTTTTCTTTATTTTTTAAAAGATTTCTTTGCATGTAATTTTTCTTATTGATTTATTTGTAAATATTGTATTAAATATTGTAATAAAGAACAATATATATATATATATATATATATATATATATATATATATATATATATATATATATATATATATATATATATATATATATATATATATATATATATATATATATATATATATATATATATATATATGCAATAAAAAAATTATATATTTTACAGATATATATATATTTACGTTGAACCATTTGACATTAACCACTCGCATAATCGATCTTTAATTGACAACAAAGTTATCCATCAAAGCCTGCCTTATTTAAAGTTATCAAAACTTTCTTTGTTCCAAATATTTACTATTTTCCTTATGCAAGAATATTACAGCTTGTTCCTGCTATCATCGTAGCACATACCACCACTGCATTTAACGTTTAACTCTGGCGAATACTTGCCTGTACTCGCCAAAGGACATTTATCTTTCATGACAATTCTTTGATTACATTTGCATGACTGCTATTATGCTATTATTGGATAAGCAAATATTCGAAGAGAATATTCCAAAAAATAAAGAATTTGTCTTCTGATAACTTTCTATCACGTCTTACAGTGAGCATATTAGCATAAAATTTTATGTTTCTAAAAATACAAAGCAACTTTATTTAAAAAGTTTTCTTTCTCCGATAAAAACTAAATCTAAGCAAAGTAATGGCAGGAAGATATCTCCCACCCCCTCCCAACGATAAAATGAGTGCAAGTATTGTTCAGTGTTTTGTTAAACAACAATTAGAATAAGAAACAATATACTTTTTGCCACTACAACACTGAAATTAATTAAACTCAAGAAATTGAAAACATGTTTTTTTTTAACTTTCAATAATTCATTTGAATGCTAACTGTTTTCCATTTGATAAACTACTGGTTTCCAAACGTTTATTATACATTTTAATGATTTAGTAAACCTTATGTTTAAAACTATAAATGGTAATCTCATAGTATAATAGTTTAGATAGATAAAAACTCTTTATAGGAACAACAAAATTGATAATAACAACTAAGTTGATCACAAAACATACGATGTAAAAGTTGTCATAAAGCACCTAAATGTTTATTTACATTAGCATAAAGTAGCAGTAAAATATTTATTTAACAGCTAACATGTTATTAGAAGTGAACGTATTGAAGAAAAACATCTAATTTTTTATTAAATTAAATATTACCATCTAAAATGTTATTAACTTAAATATAGATTGAAAAACATCTAACATGTTATTAGTATTAAATGTATTGAAAAACATCTGACATGTTATTAGCAGTGAATGTATTGAAAAGAAAAAGTTGTTTCTAAATGCCAAATATTATCATCATATGATGTAAAAATATCCTGCAATATCATCAAAACTTAAATGATATTTTTCTTCTAAAAAAACCTGTCTTAGAGACCAGTTATTTCTATGGTGTGCTACTAAGACCCAATATAGTGGATTGTGATAGTGGGCCATTTTGTATTCAATTTGTTTTTCTAGGACATCCTGTCTAGACATAACAAATTAAATTAACATATACAGTGAACGCTCTATATAAGCAACTCATTTGAACCAATTTCAATAAAAAAGTTTCTTATTGCGA